ACTGAAATTTCTGCATTTTCAAAAATATGCATTTTTCACTTTTTCGAAAGGCGAGCGCTTACCGAAAAAACGACTGGGCTTCATGCAAAAAACTGGTAAACACGTACTTGGAGGTCCACGCAGCCCTGTAATGCAACACCTTCATCCCAGCCGACGCCCTTTCTCCTGTATACCGGGGGAGGCCAAACACAGCCAATATGAGCCCAAGTCTTAGGCTAAAGCGCAGGACCATTCCTGCTAATAGCGGTCTGCGAGTTTAGTGCAAAAACGCATAGTCGCACTGACAAGCCTGATGCCTTCCATTCTGGGTGTGCGATTGCCGACAGCGTTGCTAGCGGATGGTTGCTATTAGCATTTGCTATTTCCCGAGTATCTTCTCGTGTGAAAAAGAGCGAGTGCGGAGGGAGTTTGAATTTTGAAACTGAGTGTAGAACAATTTAGGACAAAACATAGCGGTGGATGCAATCCGGAGCCTCCGAGCGGTCAGCGGCCGAGCGGTCGTGGCAATGATTTATAGCTGGCAAACACTGCTTGAAAATGTGCTGATTTATGTGTTTCTCAGACAAAAAAACCCCATCAGAAGAAACAAATATTCATTTTTTTTTTTTTGCTGCAGCGCAGTGTTGCTTGTCCGTGTAACTTGTGCGAAGGGAAAATCGGCGGTGTCGACGACGACGACGACGACAACGACAACGACGAGGACGAGCACAGCGACATCAACTGGATATTGCAGAACGATGGCATCGTCCTCTTCCACCACGAACAGCAAGAAGCGTTTCACGGCGTCAGCCGAGAATGCCGGAGCGGTGCCCGGCTCGACGGCCGCGCCACTGCGTTCGCTTACTTTTACTGGTTCGAACAGGAACAGAGCATCGGCGCAAATGTCGCTCGGCACACAGGAGATGGCTTTGCTGAACGAGATACAGCTGCGCAGCCGAACCGATCCATCTGGCGTAAGTACATCTCTCTTTTACGCATCCAAAAGCGACCTCACATGCCTCTGTATTGAAGCACTTCACATGCCATGCTTTGTATTCGGGATAGTTGGGTCAACTTTGTGT